TTTCTCAGGTGTTCAAATACTTATGTTCAGCAGTGCAAGACAAATAAATTCTTTAAAAATCATACAATGTGATTTCCTGAATTTTTTATTTATTTATTTATTTATTTATTTAAATTCTGTCTCTCTGAGTGGGAATACACCTACAATGTGAATTTTAGACCCTTCCATGATTTCTAAGTGGGACAAACTTGCAAAATCGCAGGGTGTTCAAATACTTCTGTTCCTCACTGTAAGTCTGTCAGCTTTACTTCCTGGAACTGTTGCTGTGTTCAAAATTCCTCCCTGTACAACCGCCAGGGGCGCCATGCCCTGTGTTGTACTCTGTGGCATCTGTCCAGATCAGCCACTTCAATATCGGCTTCCGCTCTCCACATGGAGATTGTGGGGGAGACTGCTGTGTGTCTGAACTGTACTTTGCAATCTTTGCAGTTTGCACTGGAACAGCTGTGTCTGGTTGTATAACAGTGCCACTCGGCGAATGAACTCCACCTGTCCCATGTGACATGCTTGAACTTGCTTAAGGAGACAGAAAACACTTAAACTTTTCCAAAAGACACGTACAGTCGGCAAGAAAACCCTCAGCTTGTTTTAATGTGACTTCTTTTTTTCTTTGTCAAGAAGGTACAGGCCTTGACTTCCTGTCTAGCTTTCACAGATGCAAGAGAGACTTGCTTCAGAAACTGTCCTATAGCATCCCCTTGTTGGGGAGGACTGTCACTCAAATCTGTTCTTTTTGCATCTGCATTATCCTGCTTATCTTTAGGAACTGTATTTAACCATTTAGACAAAAACTTGTAGAGTATTGACCCCAAAGAGTCAGGCTTGCTCTTTTCCCACTCTTGTACGATGTTTGCAGACATTAAAAATTATGCACATGTGACATGTGAAATGATCTCTGTCCAGAACCAGCTGATGTGACACAGGAAGCTTCTACATCAGAACTTTTTCTGATGCGCTTGATCGCTGGGGGTTCATCCAATCAACAGTTCTGTTTTAATTCCAGTGAATGCGCCATCACCATAAAGGCTATATTACAGTTTTCCCATAGACTATGCCCAGCCCCGGAACCAAAGACAGCTCTGCCAGAGGCACACTGTTCCACACGGAATTTTCTCAGTAGCACTAGCTGTTATGAGATACTCGTATGACATTGTTCAACAGCCTTCGTGCAGCAAACCACCCACACAAATATTAAAAATAAAAATATTTCCCTGTGCCCTCATTAATCATTTAACAGTTAGCAGTGATCGTCTTATAAATATTTAGACGTTCAGAAATGCTCAGAGAAGGCTCCTCCTTCCTCTTCCGCTTCAACAAGACCGTCTTCCCATCGGGGCAAAAAAATCCTAATAGTTTTGGAGACAACCGTCAGAATTTGTGATTATCCACTTATTACCATGGATTTTACGTCTCTGATGGTTATCAATTTCTGTGACTAGGGCACTTATTATTCTCTTCCTCAAATGAGACTATGTGCTTCATAACTTTTACGTGTGACAAAAACAGCACCAGCACATTTCAAAATAAGTGTTATCTTGCCCGTACTGTAATCATTCAATTTTGGATCAGGAATTCAGTCCACACAGATCAACAAAATTTTGTAAGGTCCAATATGCAGGAATTCTATGTAAAAGGTTTCCTGCTCACATGTTTGTTGTTGCTGGCAAATGTTGATCAGTAAGTCCGTTCACTCCTGACTGGAATCCAACTCAGAATTCAGCCAATTCTGAAGGTCACGGCACCATGTTGTTATACCCAATTTCTTTTATTGCACGCACACACACACAGCTTAGCGCCAAGGTAGGGTTAAGAGAGCCGGACTCGAGGGCTCAGCGTTCAAAAAATTATGGCTCAAGGCCATGGCTGTAGGTAAATAACTCTGAGGATCTTTTTTCCTTCAGGTAAGTATGGGTACGTTCCCCTTTAGTATCCCTAATTTAGGCTCAGGTCAATATCCCAATTTGGATTAATTGAGGTGGGTGTATCCCTTTCCCCTAAGCCTATCCCGATATTTCGGGCTATTTTGCCCTTCATCAGGCAGGCCTAATAATATTCATCCCACCAAGTGCAGCATGATGTGCTCTCTTCAATGGTCCAAGAGCAAATGAAAAGCAGAGAAGTTCCTCTTGCTTTTGTATGAGCGACAGTTGTCAGCTTGAATTTTTAAACCCAGTTTCTTTTTTTGTGTTTTTCCAATTGTTTCTCCTCTGAATAAATTTTGACTTTAACCCTGTGTGTGTGTGTGTGTGTGTGTGTGTGTGTGTGTCGGTTGTGGGCTAACCCCTTACACAGATGAAGTCCGTCCAGCAGACTCCATCTCTTATCTAGAGCTCCACAGGCTTGGAGCAGCTGCGTATTACCTAGTCATAACAAAATGAAGAAGTGTGTGTGTGTTGTTGTTGTTGTTGTTATGTGGTGTAACTAAAACAATCATTCAGACATAAATCTAACAAGATTAAAACAAGAAAACAATTGGTGTCATGGCTTACTGCTAACCTTGAAACGGCAGACTTTGAATCTTACTAAACTGCATTAATAACACATTAAAGTCTAACACATTAAAGTTTAATAATTTTCTGACTGATTTATTAATTTCTAACAGTATCCACACTCCCTAAGGGAGTTCTGGATGTATAATTTCTCCTTCTTGGTCCCTTCTGCAGTTGTGGGCACTTTCTCTGCCCTGTGATTTAAAGTTCTGATGACTCTCAGTTTGATGTTTCCAAGGAGGTTATATTTTCTGTCATTGATGTAAAGACTAAAGGAAGGTCTCGTAGGTCAGCACTTAAAACATGCCCTAACCCTCAGCTCTTCTGTCTCAGACTCGAGGACGCTGGCAGCGTCTGGAGACGCACAGTTTGGAAAAACATACGGTACAACAGGACGCTCACTCTGACACATTGACTCGAATGATGCTGTTGGGTCTGGACTAACTTTGACGCTGTTTTCGTAGTTGCCAGTTTGGAGATGCTGTCCAGAGAGGGGGAGGGTCAGCAGGTCATCGGCCGGAGCAGTCTAGACATCTTCTCCCCAGTCAAAGAAGGTCAGACCTCTCTCTCTCTCTCTCTCTCTCTCTCTCCTGGTTTTACTGTTGTGGAACAAGTGGTTAACACTTACTGGATTCAGATTTAACCTGGTAGTTTTCTGCTTGATTGTGTATGTCTGTGACATTCCCCACAAACCCCGTCCAGAGACCAGTGAACGTGGTGTGTGTGTGTGTGAGAGTCCAGATCCTGGTCCAGCTTATCGCTGTGTCGTAGACACCCACCCCAGTGAGCCACACCGCTGCACTGGGGGCCATGTTTCCTCCTCTGGGAAACACGGGAGGCCGTCTGTTTACAACTCACAGCTCCAACACGTCGCTCTGTGCAGGAGCTGGTGGAGCAGTGTGGCCAGAGCAGAAACCGTCTCACTGCAGGCACTGTACAGAGAGACGCTGCTCTCAGCCTGTGGAGCTGTTTGATTTGTGGAAAATAAAAATGGAGACCTCTGGCTTTATCCTTTAAGTGCATGTAAACACACTGATTCAGAGATCTGGGCTTTTCATCAAGTTTGTCATGGTGATGGATGTTTCATTGTTCACTGTCAACACTCTTTCAAGTGCTAGCCCCCATCGTAAGACCCCGCTGGTAGCCTCTGCAGGTCGGTGCTTAAGCCCGCTGTCCATCTTCCAGACCCCACCACCAATCGAAGAAGAAGAGGCACTTCCTGCTGCAGCTGCTGAGTCATGTGACTCCAGGAAGGTGCTGACATCTGATTAGAAGTTAAACACAATATAACATCAGAGCACAACTTGACGTAGAAACACAAATTTTTCTGTACATTAATTACACACAAGTCAGTAAAGGTACGGAGACGGGTCTCCACACTATCGGCACTGAGACAACATTTAAAGTTGGCATCTGTAAACACAGCAGGCCCGTCCGTCCTGTAGATGACTGCTCACAATAAACCATCGGCTGACAATATCCAGTAAACCTGAAATGAATGGCCTCCAGTGTAGCTGGTTAGTTGAGCTTTAATTTTTCATTATTCTAATACACTGTATTAACATTATGGTTGTCAGCAAAATGCCACTGCAGCTCTGTATCATACAGGAACACAAGTAATATTGAGATCCCTTAAATAACTTATTTTCAAAGGAAAAGCAATCGTATATTGTCACTACCTGACACAAACAGGCTAGAATTCAAACACAGACTTAAGGCGTTGGCTAAACTAACATTGTCACTTTGTAATCAAACGCTTCTTTGATTTTGAAGTTAAAGCACGAAAAGTCGAACTTGAGGCACAGAATGAAACTGTCACCCCCTCTTAGTGTTTTTCATTTTGCTGCTGAAACCCCCTGTCAATCCCAGAATGCAATGTGGTGTTTACTCGCTGACATTGTGAAGTAGGACAACTGCTAAATAATTTTCTGTTTGAACAGTTAGTCTGAGAGTATATACTCGGTAGCAGGTTATTAGGTACACCTAATGAGAAACATCTCTGTGCTGCTGATCAGCTGTACTATGTCATACAAACTGCAGCCTCCAGTGGCCACACAGGTGAGCAACACCTCTGTGAAACAGACTGAACATCATCCCTTTCAAGAAGGAGGATTTACTGTTGGATCAGACTGACATAGCTTAAACAAGGTGTTCGTAATAAATTGACCACTGAGTTCAGTATTGCTAAGATTATCTAATAGCAAAGTTTCTGGTACTTGTAGCACCACCAATACACAAGTACACCGATACTAAAAACATCTTTATCAGTCTGACAAGGCCAGCGGTTCACACCTGGAGGGGGACGCACAGACCTCGCCTGCTTCGTCCCAGCAGACCAGTCACAGTCAGCCAGCTCTGCCCTTCTTCACCCCGGAGCCCAGCCTCAGGAGAGCCAATGGTATGCAGGCTCAGCTGAGCTATGACACACCTGTCCAGAGAGCTCCACCCACCTCCACAGCAGCAGGTAGATCAAGGCACCAACTAGAGCTGGAGGTTTGGTTCCCGCGGCAAACTGGACCTAAATCAGCTCAGTGTCCGAAGAACTGGAAACAGTACACAGCTCTGATTAACCTGAACTAGCATGTCCATGCAAATTCTCAGTTATCCAGGTCGTAGTGAGCTGAAAAGAAGTAGAAAAAAATCATCTGGACTTGGTTTTAGGTAGAAGATGTTTCACCTCTCATTCAAGAGGCTTCATCAGCTCTGTCCAACTGGTGGTGAGCAGGAGGCGTTTATCTGGGTGGTGTTTCAGTCCTTCGACAACCAACAGTCTCCCCTAACGACTGTGGACCATTGTCTATGGTGTTGGTGTGAATTAGGGTGGGAATGTTTGGGCAGAGATTTCAAAACAGAGTTGTAGATGGATAACAAGTTGTCTTAGTCCACCACCCCTATTTAGAGAGGGATGTTCTATTTGGACAAAAATAACTTCCTTGACTCCTCACTGAAACACCACCCAGGGCAATAAACGCCTCCTGCTCAACACCAGTCGGACAGAGCTGATGAAGCCTCTTGGATGAGAGGTGAAACATGTTCTACCTAAAACCAAGTCCAGATGATTTTTTTTTTTTTTCTGATTTTTATTTCAGCAACCTGAACTAGCAGAAAAGCATAAATACAAATGCGACTGCATTATTGGAAAATTTAAGGATAACGTGTTTGAGATAATCCATGTTATTTTCCAGGGGTTCCTTAAAGCCCCCTGGTTCCTGACAGCGCTGTGTGTGTGTGTGTGTGTGTGTGTGTGTGTGTGTGTGTTCAGGTCCAGTTCTGTCGGCAGTGGTGTCCTCCTCTCTCTCCCAGAACATCGCAGAGGTGGTTGGACAGGGAGGAGCTGCTCCCCTCACCTCCCTGCAGATCCACTTCATCCAGAACATGATCCAAGAAACTCTGGATGACTTCAGGTTCTGACCTTTGGCCCCACTTCCATCTGTTGTTTCTTGTCCCCTTTAAAGGCTTGGAAATGTTCTGCCTCTGTTAATGTCTGATAACGCAGACCGGGCCAAATGATCCTGATCTTTTCCCTCCCCAGGGACACCTGTCACAAAGACATCGTCAACCTTCAGATCGAGATGATTCGACAGTTTTACATCCAGCTGGTATGAATATCACTGACCCTTCATCTCTGCACAGTAGAGTTAGTGTTCCCCTTCACCCCCTCCTTTTACAACATTCACTTCCTGTACCATTTATTCTGACACTGAGTAAAACCACAAACACATGGCCATCATATCAGCGATGGTTAGAATATTCATACCTCAAACCTACTCCACCTAATGTCTCTTCAGCCCAGAGGGTCTAGTGCAGGGGTGCCCAATACTTCGATTGCAAAGGTAGTGTTGGTAGATCACATACCATTCAAAAATAAATTAGATGTATCTGTAAACCACGTGCCAAATGTTAACGTGAATGGTCAGTGTTGACAATTTGCTGTGGTGACCCCTAACAGGAAAAGCAGAAAGTGCCAATCATTCATATATAGCCTATCATCCATCCTCCCTATTGCATTTGCTACTTGATTGACATGCAGGGCAGCCAGTCTGAGATCTCGTCTTTTCTGTTACACGAGTCACCAAACAAGCACAGTCAACAGCACGAGCTACTGCAAAACTCCAGTGAGCGAACTACCTTGTCAGCCTTCCAATTAATTTCTACTAAAGGGTATAAAATGAGTTGGGGAGCCGAATCAAGTAAGAACCAGGAAATGTACCGAAAACATTCCATGTGGAATGGGAGGACTTTTTTTTGCGACATTGTATTTGAAATGCATTTGCTTGATCTACCATCAAAGTAGAAGAAGGGAAATGTGGAGAGGCACTTTCAGACCATTCATAACTACGACACTCATTCATACATATATTGTGTGTGGGTGCGCGTGTAGTATTTTTAGTGTACGTAGGTCGATCATTTTGACTTGGTCATTTGAAAAGTAGCTCGCAAGGCGAAAAAGTATGGGCACCCCTGGTCTAGTGGGAATCAAATGAACACCATATGACGCCATAAACCGCTTCTTACCATTACTGTATGTCCTGTCTTAGCACTGATGTAAACTACAGATGCCTGGTTGAGACAAACTGCAGCCTCCAGTGTGAAGCTAGCATTAGCTGACTAACAGTAAACGTGTCAGTCCAGTAGAAGCTCTGGTTTCTGCTGATGTGACACAAAGCTCCAGTTCCTCCCCAAACTAAAATTATAAAAATTCAACATAAAAGGTAAAATCCTGACCATGCTGGGTGGCTAATGCTACCAAAACACTCAGGTTAGCTTTAGATGCCAACACATCCAGAAAGAAGAACACCACATCTGGATCCAGCCTGAGTCCTCTGGCTGCTTTTAACTCTCTCCTTGTCAAACAGCCAAACCCATGTTAACCCTGGTTGTTGCTCTTTCTTTCACTGATCCTTTCGACCCTCTGGATCCCAGTGTCGCCTCAGAGTCATGGCCGTTAGATCATAGATTTTTGTCTTAATGTAACAAATGAACTGTCTCTCCTCTTAAACCACCAACAGCTACCAGGTGGGGTCTCACTCACCCACCAGGTTTTCCCTTCTGTCTGTTTCAGGTTGAGATCCACAGTCTGATCGAGAAATACTCTGTGAACGAGTCTCTGGTGGAGGAGATCGAGAAGTTGAGAGAGGAGAACCGAAGACTGAAAGCCAACTTCTGACCCGTTGTCACACTGTGCCCTGAGTTGAGGGTATGCCTTCTTCTGAAAGATTAGGGGAAGGGTGTTGGATTTGGTTTGGACTTTATCTCAACTTAGGGCAGGAATGTCTTGGAAAGCTACAGTGGACTAACAGTGAGCAGGAGTGTCTCCTTGTGGTCGGCTGAAGCTTCACAGCTGGTAGTGGAGCTCGTGTGTGTGTGTGTGTGTGTGTGTGTGTGTGTGTGTGTGTGTGTGTGTGTGTGTGTGTGTGTGTCGGTAGAGGAGACTGATTATTGATGAATCCTAACATAGAAACTGTTATAAAATGTCCAGCAGAGTCTGCTGAAAATAAGGAAAGATGTTGTGAAGGTGAAAGGTGTTGTAATTTAAAAATATCTAAAGCTCCACAGTCTGGACAGTAAACGTCCGTCTGAGCTTGGTGGTAACACACACATGGACAATGGTTCACATTATTAGTGGGTTCACGCTGGGATCATGTTTCTATTGACGAGGAGCACTTTGTCACAATTAAAGAGATTATTAAAAGTTAAGATTCCTCTTCTGTCTTTACTTGTGAACAAGCTAACAAACTAGAGACAAAGCAGGTAGAAATCTGTAAAAATACTTCCGAGTTTGTCCATACCGGGCCACGTACCTGCAAAACTATTGTGTAGCGTATAAAACATGTTTATATTAATTCACAGGTTAAAAACTAGACTAAATGCGGGCGGGTAGCCAGTGAAATCATTTAAATTAAAGAAAATAAAGGTGTAGCTTATTTTACACATTTTATCAAGCTTTAATAACCGATGCATTTATTGTGAAGGCCGGCGGTGCGACCTTTGACCCGTCAACTCGCGTCCAGCCACTAGGGCGTTACTCGGCCAGTGGTGAGTACGGACAATACATCATGGACGTTGGGGAGAAGGTTGGTGTGGCCTCGGATAGAGCAGCGTTATCGGCGGCTTTGCTGCTTGTAAACGGGGCTAGAAAGTGTCCGATAGCCGCGGGCTGTGCGCGTCCTCGCTGAAGGATCAGCTGCAGAGCGCAAGTGGGCGTCCATCCACATGCACTTATCACCGACCACAGCGCTCAAGCACCGACAGTAAGCGACTATGTAGCTTATTGTTTTAATTACGAGTTGGGTGTCAGAACTGAACTCTGGTTCATGTGTTGACGGAAAGGTTACTGGCATTTGTCTGCGTCTATCACCTGGTTGGTTGGTAGTTATTCGTTTTCGTCTTCGTCATTTTATTCAATTTAACCAACAGTGCAACGCAGTGTCATTTCCTGACCTGCTGTAAATGTAACATTAGTTGTAGCCTCCTCCTGTCAGGACGCTCACAGACTCAAACTGGACAAAACGCCTATTTTTACTTTATAAATGGTTGATCACCTGTTATCTGTTGCTAATCTGGTCCGGGTCTGGATTGCGCATGTGCAAGGTTTTGTTGGTCTCGGAGGGTCACTCTGCGCGTGCGTTACTCTTCGGCTGATCCCGTGCACAGTGGTGTGATCGCTGAGGTCGTCACAAACGTGTAGCTATTAAAACACTAATTCTTTGAGGCACTTGAACGCAGTGTGTTACAGAAACGACATCGGTCGTGTTTAGGCAGCGATAAGTGAACTAAAGCACCGTTAGAACCGAACGAACCGAGGCCGAGTTGGAGCTGCACTCTGCCCGGAGACCCGTGTGACTTGTGGAGACACGCTGAATTTAGCCCGTATAACGTTTCTAGACATCAACAGAACTAAATGGCATTTTTCGTTAATAGGCTAGTTCCTAATCAGTTTATCAGCGACAGTTTAGTCTGCAAAACGACAGGACTGACGTTTTCACTGTTGCCTGGGTTTATAACATTAAATTCAGAATCGGAGCAGCCGATGTAAACAGGATAATCCGTAAATGTTGACTTAAGACCCAGTGACAGTTTTAAAATATTTACCTTTTAACCTATATATCAAATATTCTTTGAATTACTGTAAAGCCTGAAAATTAATGCCATGTAATATTTGGTGTTGTGCATAAAAATGGACCCTTTTCTCCACCTTTGGCTTGTGACAGATCCTGTGCAGAAAACATCTTGGATTGTTGAAGAGTCCTGGCTACCTGCTACTATAAATTAAGAGCAGCAGAAACTTTACAAGATAGTTTGAACGACTTCTTACATTGTTTAAAAAAATAATCGCACAATGTTTATGAACTACACTAGACAGAAGTGAATTTCTCTCGACCTTACGAATCACGGTTTCTGTCCCGGACTCTTGACTTAAGCGGAGGATTGTCCCGTCCCTCTGCAGGTCTCGGCTGCCCTGCGGGACCATGAGCAACCCTCTTGAGGGCTGAAGTGGTTCGACTCTATAAGAATGTGATTCTGCATTTTTCACCCGGTCAGTGCTTTGATTTGGATCCCAACTCATTTAAAAAGCATGTGTAACGTTCAGGTGGTGTTTTAAGACCAGAATGAAACCCATCATTTTAAAACTAAATACCTAAAATATTTTTAAGTGAATTCTGGTGAAATCCTTCCATGATTTCAATAGATGTGATTTAAAACTGACTTTTGTTCTTCAGATAAATAACTTTAAAGTTTGTTCAAATGTCAATGTTTTACTCGAGTACCTGTACTTTGCTTCTTTCCACCACTACCTGTCAAAACACTCATCTGACATGTTGTAATAAAGACTAAACGTCTCACTGCTACAACTCAAAGGAAATATTTTTCCATTTTTCCCCCACTGTATAAAAACTGTTGGTTGCAGATGTGTTGAAGACCTGAGACTCAAATACAGAGTTTGCACAGAAACACAGTTTAAGTCCGGCACCTTCTCCTCCTCAGCTCCTCCACCTCGGGCGGGACTATGCCAGAGACCGCCTCAGAGCGGTGTTTGCCAAAAACAAGTTGGTCCAGGACCCAGAGCAGATCAAGGCGCTGATTGCTCGGGGGAAGTACGTGGCCAGAGAGCTGGAGGCGCTCTACTACCTAAGGAAGTACAGAGCCATGAAGAAACGCTACTACGAGGAGTGAAACGGCTGCAGAGTCTCAGGAACGTCCCTCCACTGATCTGAAAACACAGGACTCAGTCGTTCTGGTCTGAGTTGAAGGGAGAAAAACAAGAAACAAAATGCAAGAGTGTGTTCATTTTATTTCAGCATCACTAAAATCCACCAGTAAAAACTGGAATAGCTGTCACCCAGTTAATTTAGGGAGACAGCATTTAAATAAAAGTATAAAAAGAAGAGACAAGGTGACGACTGGTCCGACAGCAACACTCAGTAGAGCGGCAGCTCCCAGCGAGGTCAGAGGGCTGGGGGGGCGAGGCAGTCTCCGTCAGCCAGGTTAGCTCTGCAGATGGGACAGGTGGTGTTGTCCTGTCGGGGGTAAAACAGTGTCTGTTCTGTTTGAATAAAGACTCAGCTGCATCGGTGTGTTCCGATTCAGTCTGATGCTTTGGTAACAACATGTCTGTTAATAATAACACAGTTATTTATAAGTGTTGGCAAAACTTCATATGTAACATCAGGTCTGCAGTTAGAAACAATGCATCAATTGTCTGATGGAGCAGTAGTAAAGGCTGGTCAGTGGTCTGCAGATGGACATGCTCATCAGTTCATACATGACTTCCTAATGACGTAGAGCTAAACTAAGTGTCCTCCACACCATGGAAGCCCACATGGTTTTCCTATTAAAGACTCAGCACTACAACCCCACTATAACAGCCAGCTACACCCGTTTCACTGCTCAGATGGGATGCAAGTCGAGTTTTAAGAGAGACTTGAAAAATGTGAACCTGTCCTTTAAATCAGTGGTCCCCAACCCCCGGGCCACGGACCGGTACCGGTCCGTGGATCAATTGGTACCGGGCCGCACAAGAAATCATTAATTATTTCCGTTTTATTTATTATCTGAGTCTGAACGATCTTTTATTTTGAAAAATGACCGCATTCTCTC